TTGCTCCTGCTCGGAACCTACTTCTCACTGGCGCGACCCAAACTCTAATAACAAAGTCAAAGTTAACTGTTCATCTTGCTAAGCTATTGTACATATTGGAAAACGTCTAAATTTTTTGTTACAGGAAATAGATAACTTGCCGATGTGTAGTAATTAGTCTCCACGATACTAAGTCAAATGAGGGCAGGGGATGCGCACGCACCCCCGAGCAAACTTTTGTTATCCCCCTTTTATCTCAATGGGTCTTTTAGTCCGCATGTATATGAGCAAGCTTGTATTCGTACCTTAGTTCTCCGGATGGTATGGTGGTTGTGAATGAAGGAGAAGTGCTGTTTCCTTGAATTCTAGTAGCCATGATATGTACCATCGGAGAAGCACGCCTGTATCTTCTTTCTTGGGTCATTTGTCAAAGCGGCCGTGCCCACTATTATAAATGGCCCTGGGGTTATATCTTCCTCGACAGACAAGGTGAAACTCTTCCCCTCGATCTTTGCCTCAAATTCGACGTTAGGCCAAAGACCATCCCCACCCTAACTCCCACATTTCATTGAGTAATATTTTCATTACAGCACGAGAAGTCTCAAGATTTATCAAAAGACTTGACCCTAAGAAATTCACTGGCCTAGACAAAATTCCAATGGTTGTCCTTAAGAATATTAACCCAGAATTATCCACTGTCTTAGCAAAGATATTCAATCGCTGCAAGAAAGAGAAATCCTTCCCAAACCCATGAAATCTGCCAAGCGTATAACAGGTCTTCAAGAACCCGGGCGAGCGTTTTCCTCCCTCCCAGTACAGACCCATCAATCTCCCCTCTAAGTTCTTTTGCGCTATAACCAATAAGAAGATCGTCAAGCACTCTTGAGCGAATAGCAGTACGGGTTTTGATCGGTCCAATCTACTGCAGGTTTCTTAATTACTAATACTCAAAGAATTAGTGAGACTCTTGACAACAAACAGACCTCGAGAACGATAGCATTAGATATTTAGAAGGCCTTTGACACAAAGGTTTGATACTCATGCTCTCCAGTTATGGAATCACTGGAAGGGTCTTCAATCTTCCTAACAGACCCTGAAGGTAGTTATTAACAACGTCCTCCGGAGCCCTGGCGGTAAACCCAGGGGTCACTTGTCGAATCACCCCTATTTTTGATTTATATAAATATAATAATATTCTCAGATAATTTGGAAATATGTTTGCCGATGATACGACGATATACGGGCGCACCTCTTGATGATCAGAGATTAGCAGCTGATCTCTCATTCGATCTAGCACTAACAGCTCAGTGGGGGGGGGTGAACTGGTTGGTTACATTCAGTAACTCGAAAACCAAGCTAGTGACGTTCTATCATCGCCGATCGGACCCCGAAATATTCCCAGTTACGATGAAAGACTGTCCCCTAGGGAAGGCTCCGTGCCCTGAGACATTATTGGGCCTTAGATTCACACTTCACCTCAAGTAAGTATCTGACTCCCCATGCTATCCTCTATCTTTACAAGAGCCTGATAAGGCCGGAAATGGAGTACTGTTGTCATAGTTGGGAGGGAGCTTCCTAATTAATCATACTCTATAGAGTTCAAGACCGTCTCTGAATCTTTGTGGGTGACAAATTATTTTTCCCTCCAGCCCCCCTCTCACAGACGAGACTAACATGAAAAGTGCTCGGACAAACTAGATGGTTCCGCCAGGTCTAGCCTTTACAGCTATGACCCACCATGCCACTTACATCGTAGCAAACCACCCACATTCACCCCGTATTCCGTCGATAAGTTCCCCTTGAACAGATTCTTCCCGCGAAGCACTGTTCTGTGGAATCGACTCCCAAGAGGATATTTCCCCGATCACTACAATCTAAACATGCCACTACGGTTAACTACTTTCTTCCTATCCTATGAACTATCTTGTAACCCGCTTCATTGAATGGCACCCGGGCTTTGTACAGGGTGAGCATCACTTTAAAAAAATATTAAAATCAACAAAGGTTAGAAAATTGTGGAGAGCCATGATCGCCAACTTCCTGAAGTGACGTGGAACACAGAAAAGAATCATAAATTTAGTTTAGGAAAGAAAAAATTGAACACATGTGAGTTAAGACGAGTAAGATTTTACAAAAACAAAATATATAACTGAGTCCTTGAACCACGTTCTTAAATAGCCTCGTGAGATGTAGACTTTTATATGGATGCCATGCACGAGGACAACTCGCTCAGAAAGGTGCAAACTGTCATCTATATATAACTGATTTATCAGATCAATGACTTCAAATGGCTTCAAGTGAATGAATCTTTTGGTTTTACAAAAGACGATATTTCCTATATCGCTACACACTGGCGCTACACAATTACAGAGAGATTCACTAAATGCCAAGTTACAACACTTGTTAGTTTTTCGTGCTCACGGAGAGGACCCTGAACATCTTCAAGTACGCCCAGAGCATTGTCAATATGATTTAGTGGCGTTCCTGCAACAGGAAAGCAATCTACTGTCCCAGCAGGATAACGCTCAAGGACACATGGCATAGTGGATAAAAGCGTTAGTTAGATCCAGTGACAAGACCCAAAGAGTGTGAGTTCAATACCTGGTTAAGGCAGTGGAGAACTTGGAGAGGTGAATTAACAAGAGATAACTGATAACTGACATCCATTAAACATGGCACGTGGAACTACAACAGTCTACCCCAGCGAGCGAAATAAAGGGTTCAGTTCGACATTCCAGCCACCTGAAGAAGGCCGCGGCGTACAACGGCCGAAACGTTGTAATAAATATGGCAACAAAGATAGGGACGATAGTCCGGACAATGTAAATAGGTTCACTAAATGCCAAGTTACAACACTTGTTAGCTTTTCGTATTCGCTGAGAGGACGTTGAACATCTCCAAGTACACCCAAAGCATTGTCAATATGTCTTGCTGGCGTTCCTGCAACAGGAAGGCAATCTACTATCCCAGCAGAATAATACCCGCCAACCTTATACCCGTACTGCTCGATAAGATCTGCAAGATCGATAACTTCCTTTGTCGGCACCAAAACCTACCCCTCTCCAACTCCACACATTTGTGTTAGAATGGGAGATTATAGGGCGACTCTTGATTTATTCGTAGCTCATATACATCAATTGTTGTCTTGAGCCAACTTGTGGATGAAAGCATGGTACATTTCTATAGGGCGTAATACATTGAATATTGAACGACCGCGTGTTACTAAGCATCTGTGCAACCAGACGCAAGCGAGAATACAAGGGAATGTTACAAGAATATGAGGTGTATTAATAAACTGTCCTTGGTATGACGATAAACTACATCCAACAGCAAGGCCTCTGATCAGGAGGTTTTGAGGAGCATAGAACCCCCTCTTATTTGCGGATGTTCCCAGGTCCACCCTGACGCGGGGTGGTAGAACCTGTTAGGGCCACAGTTATGGGCAAATAGTTAAGCCTCAAACTGAGGTCAAAACACTATGAAAGTATAAAAATAGATTTTAATACTGCAATACATTTTTGTAAAAATATTACCAGAAATACATTTTTGATGAAAAAATTATTACCAGCAATACATTTGTGGAAAAATTATTACCAAAAATAAAAATCTTGTCGGCATTAAATAACCCACTGAGGTTGATATGCCGTAAAACAAACCAAACCAAACCTTATAATTTTACCAGCAATACTTTTTTGAAAAATATATCTGAAACAGATTTTTGAAGGAAAATATTACTAGCAATATATGTTTGAAAAAATATTACCAGCAATAAAAGATTTGTCGGCATTAAATAACCCATTGAGGTTGATATGCCGTAAAACAAACCAAACCAAACCGTATTAATAAAGGTTATTAATAATGTTGATGCACACCGTACTTTGGAGCCTGTTCACGTATTGATCTCTTCATGGGATAATCTAATATAATCCAGATTTATTACCAACCCGTCTAATCTTAATTGAAACACTTAGAGTGTTGCCATTTTATTTTTTGTCAATACATATTTGTTTTAGAGAAAGATAAATTATTATTGCATTATTTTTTAAGTGACATATTAATAACCTCTTGCGTGCTAGTGGCTTCCCGTCTTGCTTGGAGTGGAATGCTTAAAAAAAACAAACAAACAAACCCTGTATTTAAAGAAGCGAACACATGCGATCAAGAAACTTACGAGGCGTATTTCGATAGCAAAAGAGGTCTTGAAAAAGTTATGCAATGAATTAAGGGTCGGGAGAATTCCGTTGTAAACAAAAATATCTGCTGAAATGCTGTGTAATATCAATACTTCTAAATGGCGATGAATGCAGGAAAATGTACTTACAGATGAAGACGTGGATTGAGGCAAGAGAAATGTGTTTCTACAGAAAGATGCTGAGAATTCGATGGACTGAACATGTGAGCAACAAATACAAACAAAAAGGACATTTAGTGATGTAACTGTGTAGCGCAATACTGTAGAGGACTGATGATGCAGTGTCCTTTATAAGACCAAAGGATTCGTTTTGATGGAAGCCATTTTTAATCATTGGTCTGAGAAAACGGTTGTATATAGATTAGACATTTCTGAACGGGTTGGAAGTCACACATGAATGAATCCTAAACATCAAATAAGGGATTAAGCGTTACACTTGTTTAAAAGATCGTAGAGGAGTCTGAAACGGACGATAGGCAGATCTATCTGCATAGAATCAAGGAGAGACATTGAAATTTTTGGGACACATAGTTAGGAGAAAGAACTCGTAAAATTTGGCATACACCGGACATATTAGAAGGGCGGAATGAAACATGTAAGAAAAAATGGACATTTTACAAGAATGTTATGCGACGCAGATATGGGTATAATGGAGGCATCCACGCTAAAGTCCAATCCAAGATTAGCATCAATCCAAAGTTTGTTTTTTTGCTGTAACTACCCTTGTGTGTGTATTTTGAAATGCCACCGGTCAGTATCTGTCTATATTTATGAGATGAGGTATTATGTACAAGAGTAAGCTGGGCCTTTATAGCCATCTCCGCCACCGCTACCACGTGGGTAGGAGAAAATGAAGAGAGAGAGAGAGAGAGAGAGAGAGAGAGAGAGAGATGACGATCTCGGTGCTCGGATGCAAGTGGGTGTCGACTACTACTAAAAATTTCTGCTACTATCTTTGGAGGTGAACATTCAATTTGATTAATTTATATTGTTCGGACTATCGAACTCATCTTTGTTGCCACATTTATCACAACGTTTCGGCCGTTGTATGCTTCGGACTTCTTCAGGTGGTTGGAATGTCGAACTGAACCCTTAATTTCGCTCGCTGGGGGAGACTGTTCTAGTTGCATGTACCATGTCTAATGGATGTCACTTATCAGTTATTTCTTGTTAATTCACCTCTCCAAGTTCTCCACTGCCTAACCAGGTATTGAACTCACTCTCTTTCGGTCTTGTCACTGGATCTAACTAACGAATTTATCCACTGTGCCATGTGTCCTTGAGGATAAAGGCGTTAGTTAGATCCAAATATGATTCCATCGCTACATAAGAGTTCTCAAGTTTCAAAAACAGAAGCTAAAAACTTCAATTTAATTATAGAAATTTAATTAAATTAAAGTACCCAGCTCTGTTTCATCCTAAAGTAAATTTTAGAATAACAAATTTTGAAATTTATGGAGCCTAATAAGCATACACATTCGTAATACTAATTTCTATGGAAACGAAGAAAACCAATCATTTTAATAAGGGTCGGTAGGGTTTACATTTTCACTGACAACTATTGTATCAACATATTAGTTACTTTCGAAAAGAGGTTAAATCAAGGTCGAATCGGAGTACCTATTTTCAAACGAATGATGACATCCGTTCAACACATATCGTCTGGTCTAATTCAACGACAGAGAGTTTTGGCACTTTTTGTTATCATCTGTTATATATATATATATATATATATATATATATATATATATATAATATATAAAGTTTCTTCCTTATCGATATCTATCTATCTATCTATCTATCTATCTATCTATCTATCTGAGTCAGTTCCTATCTATCTATTTAGCTATCTATATATAAGGTAAATGAGATAACTTGATATTAGCAACCATATACAAGCGTGCTGGCGTGCATAGACAGTTAAGCCAGTAAATAATTACCAAATTTTGCCTACAGGTGTAAACATAATAGTGCTCGATGTGATTAGACAGCGCTACGAAATATATATTAATAAATATACATATACCTAACTTTGGTGTGTGAAGTTTCGTTGATTACCCAGCTCGTCGGGCACCAGATATAGCGTAGTGTTATATATATATATATATATATATATATATATATATATATATAAGTTTCATCTATTTAGCTATTTGTGCCAGTCTGTTCCTATCTATCTATTAATCTATCTATCGATATATATATATATATATATATATATATATATATATATATATATATATATATATATATATATATACCGTGTGTGACAGCAAAATTCTTTATTTGTTAGATTAAGCTTTGAACCATTGTATCTTAGAAATGATTAAAGATATCTTACTGGAATTCTCCGAGCTGTCTATAACATTATTGGACTCTACTTTGAGAAATAAGAATGTATAATTATTCTCCAAGCTTAACAAATGCATCGTGATGAAATCGATCATAAGCGAAAATGACATATTCATCATTAAATTAATCGTAGCTAAGCATTGGAAGCTGAAAGATTTAACCTTCTAACTTTCTTTCCTGGGGTAACAAGATGCCTTACAGGTTTAACATACGATTTCATTTTCAAGTCTTTTTTCACTATCCGTTGGACTGTCATAGCTGAAACATCTCTCTCTCGTGCCAAACATTTTATGGATTAAGTTGGATCTTTTCTAAATTATAAATTATTATCTCTAAGTTGAAATTATGATACCCCTTGCTGTTGTGATCTGCTGATCAAGTTTTCCTCTTTACTGTTCCCTTTTGAAACTTACTCACTGTTCTATTCATGGTTCTTGAATGGATTTTATCAATGGAAGCTAGAGTATGAATGTTAATACCATAACTGAAGGCCTGAATGATCTTTTTCCTCCCAGCATTGCTCATTTGGGAAAAAAGTTGTCCTGACACAAAACAATTTTAAACTGTTCTCTTTCTAACTGAATAACACAAAGGTTTTTTGTGATTCTTAAGATAAATAGTGCCAAGATAGTTAAATGTTTATCTGAAAACCTGGGGAAAAAAAACACAATTAGTTTAATGGTTTTGTAGATATTAAACATTTTGTTAGATGGACAATTATGGCGTAACACGATTTAGACAATTTTGCTGCTACACTCGGTATATAAACACACACACACACACACACACACACACACACACATATATATATATATATATATATATATATATATATATATATACATAATATTCTTCTTTATCTATCTGAGTCTGTTCCTATCTATCTATCGATATGTGTATGCATATATATATATATATATATATATATATATATATATATATATATATAGTAGACCCCGGCGTTGCCCGGGCATGTAAGAGAAAGATCAAGTATCGACCATCATAAAGACTGAAAAATAAAATTGACAAAGATTATTGTTTAAGGTTGACGGACACGCATGTCTTAATTAGGTTTTTTTCTTTTTTTTTCGAATTGGTCAAACCCAAACTTAAACAAAAACATTGTTTTCAATCGTTATGAGTCTACCGATTGAATAGAATTTTATTATAACCATTGTCTTGTAAATGGAATTTTTAAAGCATTCTGAATGTAAAAATAAAGAAAAAAGTGTGCAAGACAATAAGAAACACTACCTGCCAAAAAAGGTGAAGTTTTGTTGAAATCGGTTGAAAAATGTAGGAAATCCGATCCCATATATAAACGAAGACACACACACACACACAAACAAACTGGGTTTTATCATAAGTATAACTCGATACGAGTTGTCTCCCTTTCATTCAGGCGACAGAATCGTGTTTTATCGTGTTTTCAAATAGATTTCGTGCAAAAACACTTGTATTTTTCCAATTTTTGGTGCTGTCAGAACCACCGCAAGGTAATTTTACGTAGTGCTGTGAAGTTTTGTTGAAATCGCTTGAAAAATGTAGGAAATCCGATCCAATATATAAATGTACAGACACACACACACACACACACACACACACACACACACACACACACACAATCTGCGTTTTATAATAAGATATATATATATTGTATTGTATTGGTCGTGTATATATATCTAGCGTTATATGTATGCTTTATTTTCCAAACACAGTCAGAGCATTGTGGCCGTGGTTAATGCTATTGAGTGTTTTTTTTTTATTATTATTACCGCTTCCATTATTTTTAATCCTTTTTTACATGTGGATGAGATAATTATGCTTGCATTTGCTACTTGTATGCTTTTATTTTTATGCTACTTTTAGGTTTGGATGTGTTCTAATCGAGCTATGGCCGGATAGGTGATACATAGATGAACAAGAAATTTAAACACACACACACACACATATATATATATATATATATATACACACATATGTATATATATATACACAAACATACACACAAACACGCACACACACACACACACACACACACACACACACATATATATATATATATATAGATAGATAGATAGAAAGAGAGAGAGAGACAGGAACAGGCTTACATAGATAGATAGATAGATAGATACAAACAGACCCAGATAAATAGAGGGATAGATAGTTAAAGAAGAAACTGATATCTATCTATCTATCTATCTATATATATATATATATATCTATATATATATATAGATATAGATATAGATATAGATATATAAATAGATAGATAGATAGGAACAGGCGCAGGTTGATAGATAGTGAAGAAACTGTCATAGTACAAACATATATATATGTATTTTTCCTTATCAATCTGTGTATGTGTGTATATGAGACTTTTCCTATTTTGTCAATATATATATATATATATGTGTGTGTGTGTTTGTTTGCGTGTGTATATATATATATATATATATATATATATATATATATATATCTTATTTATATCTATCTATTTACCTATCTCTCTATATATATCTATATCCATTTATCTGCCTTTGTATATATATCTATATCTATCAACCTATCTATTTATATATATATCTATATCTATATATATCTATATCTATCTATCTCTCTCTATATATATATTTCAATCTGTTCTTTATCTTTCCCTCTCTTTCACTCTCTCTCTTTGTATACACACGCACACACACATACAGAACCACACACATATATATGTATGTAGGTAGGTAATGTCACAAAAAATAAAAATAATAATAATAATAATAGCTGCCACTCGTATTCGAGGATACCCGTCTACTAAGGCGGCTAGCCAATCCCTATTGCAGACGCACGCTCAGGCACATTTGTGTTTGCTCAACCTTCACTGAGTCCAATTGTGGTTTATACTGCAACTGTGCTGAGCAGACTTTAGTTACAGTTTCTGGGAGAGAACGTCTTATCTAGCGTAATCAACAATTTGAACAAGACCAGTACACTCAAGGCCTCGGTCACGATGACTTGTGGCTTCGTGCTAGCATAGCTATCGACAGCCCACAAGAGTTCCGTCTGCCCAGTTTCCTTCACAAGGCTTGGGTCAACCCGTTGTATGGTTTACAGGCACTTGCCAAAGGTGCCACACGCAGCGATCGACCTCGCTTTTCTGACAAATCGATCATAGTGAGATTCGAACGCGGGTCTCATGGTTAGAATGTAAAAGTTCTAAGCAATCGCGTATACACACATATACCCACATAGAAATACACATATATGTATTTGGGGGCAAGGAGAAAAAGGTCTCTTAGGTAATTGACACAAACACACACAGTGATCTCCATTAAGATGCTTCATAGAATGAGAGAAGGGGAGAGAGAGGGAGAGAGGTGGGGAAAGAGAGATGAGAAAGAGAGTGATTTTGCAATTTCTACTAATTTTCGCCAACTACATTATAATTGGTCACTAATTTGGAGATTGAAAAGGAATAAGAACTAAAGAAGTCAATCATGTATGAAATATATATATATATATATATATATATATATATATATATATATATATATATATTTCATACATGTATGACCAAATGTATATATTCGTCCTGGGTATGACGATAAACTACATCCGCGTCCTGGGTAAGACAATAAACTACGTCCAACAGCAAGGTCTCTGATCAGAAGGTTTTGAGGAGCGTCGAACCCCCTCTTAATTGCTGGTGTTCCCAGGTCCACCCTGACGCGTGATGGTAGAACCTGTTAGGGTCCCAGCTATGAGCAAATAGTTAACCCCGAAACTAAGGTAAAAAGCATTATAAAAGTGTAAAAAGAGGTTTTAATACCAGAAATATTTTGTAAAAAATTATTACCAGAAATAAATTTTTAAAGAAAAAAAAATACCAGCAATATATTTTTGAAAAAATTTTTTACCAGCAATACGTTTTTGAAAAAAAATATATTACCAGCAATACATGTTTTAAAATAATATTACCAGCTATACATTTTTGACAAAACAAAATATTACCAGGAAAAAAAAAGTTGTTCGCATTAAATAACCCATTGAGGTTGATATGCCGTAACACACAACAAACCAAACCAAACCAAATGTATATATACAGAGTCCAATGAGTAAATTGTCGCCATTTTAAATTTTAATTTCGCGCATGCGCGTTGTTTGTTTTTGCTTTTGCCAAATCCACAGTACAGTAGGGTCAGTTGGGCACCGTCTGTGAGGAAAATAACACCATGATGCAATTCACTCCACTAGAAATTTGGAAACAACATGCTATACATTCGAACCAATACGAACATTTCATAGTGTTTGGGTGTCAATCTGAGGACAGAGCAAAGAATTTGGAAAGAGTTGGATGAGTCTAATGGTGATTAATAAAGTACGGCAGCTCGAAAAACTCACTCTGATCGTTCTGATGAGAAAAGAACCTCAGACTCAACACAGAGGCCTACATGAAGCGCCTTGATGAGGTGCTCTAGGTCAAGAGGGTGGCTGCTGGAAAAACCTATGTCTGGCAACAGGACTCTACACCATGCCACACAAGCAGGAGAACCCAGTCATGGCTGCCAGACAATTTTTGCGACCACATCACCCTTTACATCCGGCCAACTAACTCCTCGGACTGAAACCCCCTTGGTTATTATGTGTGGGGCGCAAATGAGTGAGAGACCAACAAAACTCTTCGTAACAGCAAAGATAAATTGAAGGCAAGGATTATGGCATCATTCACCAACTTAAACAAGGGGAATGTCCAGAAGAGATGCAAGAGATTTCGAAATCGTCTAGAGGCCGTGGTTGAAGCTAAAGACGATTTTATTGAATAAATTTACTCTTTAGTATTTCAAGATATTTTTATGTAATTTTGGTAAATATATCTGTTAAAATGAGATGTCAGTGTTATTTTCATTTCTGCGTAATTTAGACGAAAATTTCTCCATTGCATATATCAGGTCATCCCATAAGTTCTGTTTAACTTTTTGTTAAAATGAACGAAATTTAAAGAGCATTTTATAATGTCTAATGGAGCTGAACATTATTTTTATGTTTAGATGCATTTAAACTGATCAAATTTTATTTCAGAGAACAATAAAATAAAATTTTGTTTGATTAAAACCCTGCTAACATGTAAGTACCCAAGAATCATTTTTTGCACATAATGCTTTATGAGTTCAAGAAAAGAAACTCAGCAGCCGAAGCGGCTAGAAACATTCACTCAGTTTATGGAGAGGAACGTGTGAATGAAAGAACTTGCAGAAGATGGTTTGCAAAATTCAGAGGTGGAGATTTCACTCTTGAAGATGGAGATCGAACAGGACGTCCAGTTGAGTTTGAGTAAAAGCTTCTTGAAGCAGCCCTTGAAGAAAATCCTGCTTTATCAGTTGAGGAATTGGCAGTGGTTCTCAGTTCAAACCATACAACTGTTCATCGTCATCTTCAACAACTTGGAAAAGTTTCTAAACTTGAAAAATGGGTGCCTCATGAATTGTCTGAAAACAACATCAAATCCCGAGTTGACATTTTCTCTTCTCTCCATTCTCACCAACTTGTTTCACCTTTTTTGGATAGACTTGTGACTGGCGACGAAAAATGGATCTTTTATCGAAATGTTAAACGTCGTAGACAGTGGCTTGGTAAAGGGGAAGGATCCCAGCCACAGCCGAAAAGGGAACTTCATGGGCAAAAGGTTCTTCTTTCCAAGGAATAATCCACTTTGAATTCTTACCACCTAATGCAACAATTATTGCTCAAATATACTGTCAGCAATTAGAGCGTTTGAATCAAGCTTTGAGGTAAAAAAGACCTGCGCTAGTGAATCGAAAAGATGTGATGCTTCATCAGGACAGTGTGCAACCCCACACAGCAAGAATCACGTCACAAAAGATCGAAGAACTTGGTTGGGAGAAAATTCCTCATCCACCTTATTCTCCCGATCTTGCTCCTTCAGACTACCATTTGTTTCGTAACTTACAGAATCATTTGGAAGAAACAGCTTTTGTAACACAGGAAGAGGTTAAAACTGACATTTGTGAGTTCTTCGAATCAAAGCCAAAAGAATTTTACAGTAATGGAATTAGTAAGCGTGTTAATAGATGGAAGGAAGTCATAGATAATCAGGGAAAATACATTGTTGATTGAATCTGTAATTAAATGTAATATTTGGTCACTTGTTTTCTTCATTCAAAATTCGGACAGAACTTATAGGATGACCTGATATATGGGGAGGGGAGGGTCCCTTTAAAATGAAGCTCACGTTTACCGTTTTTCTGCTTATTAACTAACGCATATTTATTGCAAATTTTCATAAATTCGGCATAGATAGATAGATAGATAGATAGATAGATAGATAGATAGATAGGGAGAAAGAGAGAGAGGGAATGAAGTAAAGTAGGAATATAGAGAGCGAGTGGTTGGGGACTGATATTATTTATTAAGATAAATAAATAGGCAGAGAGACAAACAGATAGATAGATAGATAGATAGATAGATAGATAGATAGATAGATAGATAGATTTGCGACTGCTTGATCTCTCACTGTCCGCTGACACGAGATGGAATAATTACATTGAATCAATAGCTTCATCCACCGCAAGGAAAGTTGATTCCCTGTGTCGCGCCAAAAAGTTTTTCTCGCTAGAGTCCATCCTTCAAATCTATGTCTCAACCATTCGCCCTTGTATGGAATACTGCTGCCATATATGGTCTGGTGTCCCTGCTGTTTGCCTTAAGGTCCTCGACAAGATCCAGAGACGGATATGTAATGTGGCTGGTCCTGATCTGACATCTTTTCTACAGTCTCTCTCTCACAGACGGGCCGTCGCCTCCCTCTATCTTTTCTATAAATACTTTCACGGAAACTGCTCCGACGAGCTACTATCGCTAGTTCCCAGACTTCATGAATTTAAGCGTGCTACTAGGCTGGCATCACGGTCCCACCCTTTCACTGTAGAAACGGTTAAATGTGTCCATCTCTTCTACTCCAATAGCTTCATGTCTCGCACTTCCTGTCTGTGGAATCCCCTTCCTATTACTTGTTTCACTGATAGCTATAATCTCCAACTTCAAATCTAATGACAATCGACATCTCAAATCGCCCTGACCTATTCTGTCTTTCTCTTCATCCTTTCCTCCATCACGCCTATTTACTCTCGCTCCCACGCTGTAACCCATTGCGTAATAGGGGCATCCCGTTTTGCTTGGCGTGAAATGCTTAAAAAAAGAAATTAGTAGACTGAGATAGATAGATAGATAGATAGATAGATAGATAGATATGAGTAGCTTGAGATAGATAGATAGATAGATAGATATGAGTAGACTGCGATAAATAAATATGAGTAGACTGAGATAGATAGATAGATAGATAGATAGATAGATAGATAGATAGATATGATTCTGAGATAGATAGATACTCACATTCATCTATCTATCTATCTATCTATCTATCTATCTATCTATCTCAGGTTACTCATATCTATCTCATCTATCTCATCTATCTCAGTCTCCCTCATTCATCTATTTATCGCAGTCTACTCATATCTCATCTATCTATCTCTGTACTTCTATCTGTCTATCTATCTCATCTATCTATCTATCTATCTATCTCTATCTATTCTATTTTATTTATCTATTATTCTATTCATCTATCTCATCTATCTATCATTCATCTATTTATCTCCATTCTATCTATTCAGTTTCTACAGTCTACACATATCTATCTCATTTATCTATTTATCTATCAGTCTAACCTGAGATAGATAGATAGATAGATAGATAGATATGAGTAACCTGAGATAGATAGATAGATAGATAGATATGTGTAGACTGCGATAAATAGATATGAGTAGACTGAGATAGATAGATAGATAGATAGATAGATAGATAGATAGATAGATAGATAGATAGATAGATAGATAGATAGATATGAGTAGACTGTGATAGATAGATAGATAGATAGTGAAGATCTGTCGCTTCTTATCCACAGGATGAGCTCGATGGATGCTTTTTCGCATTGAAGAGCAGGTCAACATTTCTGCAACCTGAGAGCCGCGATTGCTCTACTTGTGGAAGGGTTTTTACTCGTAAAAGAGAAGATTTCGTTTTGCTTGAGTGAGATGCATAAAGAAGTGTTGTTTAATTATAGCGCGAAAAGCCGATCGCTGAAAAGGCTAAAAAGAGCGAAAAGAAAGGCGAACAAGTATGACGGCGCGCAAACTAGTAATCAATAGCACTTTGCAAATGTTGAGGAAGTGAATTTCCCGTGATGCCCTACAAAAGTCACGACTTGATCATCATAAAACTTTTACGTGTCGCTCTAATGCAACGGAAGGTAAATTGAAGAAAGAGTAAAAAAAGAGGAAGGGGAGGAAATGTGAGAGTAGAAGGTAGTAGGAGGAGAACAAAGGAATTGGAAGAAGGAGCGGGGCATGAGGATGAAGAAGAGGAGAGTAAGAGCTGGAAAGAAGAGAAAAAGTGGGGAAGGGAGAACAACACTAGAGGAAGGGAGGTGACATATGAGGGAGAAGAACGGAGACGAGAGAAAAGATGCCAGACAAGAAGAACAGAGAAAGAGGGGGAAAGGAGAGTAAGAGTAAGGGAGAGAGAACCGATTAAGGAAGAGAAGGAGGGAAGGAGGAAAGAAGAAATGAGGAAGGGAGCAGGAGAAGAAGAATAATGAAAGAGGAAGAAGTAAAAGAAAGAGAAACGAAAGAAAAATGGTTAAAAGAAAAAGAAAGGAAGAAGAAAAACAGAAAAAAGAGAAATGGAAAGAGAAATAGCGAGAGGCATGACGAGAATGGAATCGAAAAAAGGGAGAAGAAAAATGAAGTTTGAAGAAGAAGAAGAAGAAGAAACGAGAGAAAAGGAAGAAAGGAGAAAAAATGGATGAGCTGGAGGATGAAATATAGTTTGAGAAGCAGATTAAAAATCCAAGAACTAAAAAAACGAAAACGAGAAAAAAAGAATGAATAGTCGAAGAGGAGGAGAGAAGGAAATGACAAGGGAAGAGAAGAGGAGAAGAAGAGTGGGTGAAGAAAGATAAAGTAAAAGAAGAACGATGAAAAAGAAAAGGAAGAGAAAGATGAGCGAAGGGCAAAGAAACATAATGGAGAAGGCAAATAAATGAAAAAGGAGAGAGGAAAGATCAGAAGTAAAAAGAAGAGAAAGAAGAAAAGATATGATGATGATGATGATGATGATGATGATGGAGGTTTTATTGAAAAGAAAAAAGGAAAATAGAAAAGAGAGAGGAATAAGGAAAAATGAGTGTGAAGATTAACAGAAAATACAATGTCGGAGAGAAGAGAAAAATGAGTTTAAAAAGGAAACAAATCAATGAAAGAATGAAAAAAAATTAGATGTAAGAGTGTGGGGGGGCAATACATTACATAAACAGAAGGAGACTGATACAATTTTGAAAAAAGAGGTACAAAAACGGAAGTTGAAAAAATAAGAATAGGATGGAGAAGAAAAAAAAAGAGGATGAAGAACAAAGCAGAAAAACAAATATATCGGTAAAGAATAAAGAAGAAGAGGTTGAAGAATAAAGAAGAAAACAAAGAAGGAGAGGGTGAAGAAAAAGACGTAAATAGATGAAGAACAAAAAGAACAAAAAATAAAAGCGGCTGAAGAACAAAGAAGAAAAAGTTGAAGAAGAAAGAAGAAGAACAAAGAAGAAGGGGGGTACAAAGAAGCAAAGGGTGAGGAACAAAGAAGAAGAAGAAGAAAGAAGAGGGTGAATAAGAAAGAAGAAAAGGGTGAAGAAGAAAGAAGAAGAAAGAAGAGGGTGAAGAAGAAAGAAGAAAAGGGTGAAGAAGAAAGAAGAAGAAAGAAGAAGGGGGCTACAAAGAAGCAAAGGGTGAGGAACAAAGAAGAAGAAGAAAGAAGAAGGGGGCTACAAAGAAGCAAAGGGTGAGGCACAAAGAAAAAGAAGAAAGAAGAGGATAAATAAGAAAGAAGAAAAGGGTGAAGAAGAAAGATTGAAAACAAGAAGAAGATCAAATTAGATGAGGGTTAAAAACACAGCAGCAGAGGGTGATCAATAAAGAAGAAAAACAAATAAGGTAATGGGGTAAATAAAGAAGTGAAGTGTTACGAAAAAATCAGAGGTTGAATAATTAAGAATAGTGTGTAGGACAAAGAAGAAAAATAAGAATAAGTGGGTGAATCACAAATAAGCAAAGTGTGTAGGGCAAAGAAGGAAAAAGAATAAAAATAACATAGTGAATAATAAAGAAGCAATGTGTGTAGAGCAAAGAAGAAAAATAAAAATAACATGGTGAATAATAAAGAAGCAATGTGTGTAGAGCAAAGAAGAAAAAAAAGAATAAGTGGGTGAATCACAAAGAAGCAATGTGTTTAGGGCAATGAAGGACAAAGAACAAAAATAAAAATAACATGGTGAATAACAAAGAATCAATGTGTGTAGGACAAAAAAGGACAAAGAATAAAATATAAAAATAACATGGTGAATAATAAAGAAGCAAAGTGTGTTCGGCAAATTAGGACAAAGTAGAAAAATAAGAATAAGAGGGTGAATAATAAAGGAGTAGCGGGTGAAGAACAAGGATGCAAACAAAGAAGAATATGGTACGAAAGAAACAAGAAGTGTGATACGAGCAAAAATGAAATGGATGAAAAACAAAGAGTGTGGAGTAGAGGGTTAAGACCAAAGAACAAAGAAGACCCAAGAAGAAGATGGTGAAAAGCAAGTAAAATGATGGTGAAGAACAGCGAAGCAAAGGGTGAAGAACAAAGAATAAAAACAAAAACGAAGTATAAATGAAGGTAAGAAGTTGAATCTATTGAACAAAATCATTAATTTATTCAAAAGCAGAAATGTCTTCAGTTATTCTGCGTTCACTTTGCAATAAATGTTTTTATTCCTATCACTAACCGTTCACTATATCTGCCCTTTGATATGATAATAGCACTTGGACGCCTGTGATAAGCTTCAAATTTCCGAAAGAGAGAGACAGTATTTTTTTTTAATCCATCGGTAGGAAGATAAAGGAAAATGAATTCTTCAAAGCAACAAAGTTTATTTGAGGTGTTCTATCTTAATTTCTTACGAAACAAATTTGACAGTGATTTTTTTTTCAAAATTCTCTGAAGAAAGATAAGTGATATTTTCTGAAATTGCAGACAGATACCCTCTTTCTCTCTTTCTCTCTCTCTCTCTCTCTCTCTCTCTCTATATATATATATATATATATATATATATATATATATATATATATGTCGACCATCATACGTCGGAAAATCGACGGGAGAGTCCAGTATGTATATATATCTAAATATATATGTAAATATATATGGCAATTGTTATGTTCCGACAATCCTCGTCGGAACTGTTATATTCCGTGCTAAGGGAATAAATAAGTAACACCAGGTGGATACTAGAAGAAATGGTTTATTGTGCACAACATGTACAATATGAAATACGGTACAGTTATGCACACAGGACATATGTGCTGCATATATTTATATTGATTTACTGTATTAATTTATAATTTTTCGTTTTTTTCTTTTGACAGGTTTTTTTTAATCTATTTTGTATATATTATATTTTACTTCAAATGTTACTGTAAGATGATAAGTATTTTGAGAAAAAGCACATTTTGCTACAGCAAAAATCTTAAGCTTTTACGATATGAAAGATCTTTCAATTTCGCTTTTAATGATCATTATCTTAAAAGGATGAACTAGCTTTTATATTCCTGTTCAATATGAATTTAAATAATTAGGTGCTACTTTTTACCCAAATACACTCACATATTTTTAAAAATACTAATTTCACTAAACAAATATTGAAATAAGAAAACTTTTAATTTTAAATTTAGATTTAATAATTTAATCACTTGAAATTCAGTGTTAATTATTAGTCCTATTCTACCTCATAATACTGCTAATTAAAATACTTAAAGTATTGCTTATTACTATTTTTACTTATACTTTTGCGTTGAAATCTCCAAATGTGAGTTTGGCCAAATGTCTCTCGACCAAATGTCCGGCTACGATTTAATTCGAGCATGTGGAAAATTTTCATTTCGCATAGAAGCAGTTGAAGCATTAGTACAATCACACCTCATCTTTTAGAATTCCGTAGTACAGGTACAACACGAAGCTAACAAGCTACTATTGGAAATTTAGGGAGAGACATAGAAAAAGTCCAAGCATTAAATTTTAAGAAATTTAAAGATTAACATAATAGTCGACAATACGTGTAGGCTATGCCAAGAAGAGTAAATGGCTACATCAACATATAAAAACAGCAATGAATAGCCGAACGGGAGGTCAAAGATCATGACCAAATGCAGACATTTTAAGAAATTCAGTTTGGGGTTATTTGAACCCGGTTAAAATATCTCCCGCATTACATTAGGCAAAAACATGGCAAAGGCTAAAAGTTGAAAGTGAATATGGCAGAATTGTCAAGCTGCAAAAGCAAAGGTCTCTCTCATTGTGGCATTGCTGGTGAGATTAGACATAGTCAAATTGCTGTTGCAAATTTCTTAAAAGACCCCGGGATATGCGAACAAGAATTTGGTCAGAAGTATATTTACTTTATATTTTTGGTTAAGGCATCAAGCATTTTATGTCAAGCTATACTGTGTTGTTATCAATTTACCTCAAAACTTCACATGCTTCTCAAAATTCTAATTAAAAAAGGGCAAAGACATAGCGCACTTGATAATAGAATTTTATTACAAAAAAAAAAAATTGATGAAAAACAAGTTTACCGAAAACTAAAATATATGTAAGCAATAATTGATAGACAAAGAATGAACATTTTTCAATATGGCAGATTTTTTTAAAGTTTACATTCCGAATGCAGATAATTAGTTTGTGGTCATCGAAACCTCGAACACTGAACTCAACAGGAGAGTTCATCATATATATATATATATATATATATATATACACACACACTGCTGACCAAAATTTTAAAGAAAATGGAAATAAACAAAATTCTACCTTTTTTGCATTCTTAGACTCGGTTACTTAGAGCTTCAAGAAATGAAACAAAAAGAAAAAAATCTTTTTAACATTTAAGAGAGAAAATTTGAATACTGGGAAATTAGGTTTAATACTAACTGCTCAAAAGTTTATGACCATATTTAAGCAAAGCTTTAATTGGTAAACACATCGCAAAATGTAGTCATTTGTGTTGAAGCATTAGCACTGTCACTGGTATCAGCTGCATTACATTAGGTAAAAACAAGGCAAAGGCTAAAAGTTGAAATTGTTTGAACATGGCAGATTTGTCAAGCTGCAAAAGCAAAGGTCTCTCTCAATGTGCCATTGCTGGTGAGACTGGACATAGTCAAAATTCTGTTGTAAATTTTTTAAAGACTCTGAGGGATAGCGAACAAGAATTTGGTCAGAAGTATATTTACTTTATATTTTTGGGGTATGGCATCAAGCATTTTATGTCAAGCTATACTGAGATATATTTTTTTCGAAAAATGAAAATAAGAAAAGGGAGAATAAAATTTAAAAGTTTTTAGCATTTAATATGGAAAATTTGAACACTGGGAAATTAGTCTAAATGCTAGCTGGTCAATAATTTAAGACCATATTTAGACGAAGCTTTAATTGGTAAACACGTAACGAAATTTATTCAAATATAAGCATAGTCAATACCTCTCAATGATTTTCCACGCGTTACATTAGTTAAAAACATGGCAAAAGCTAAAAATTTGATTTTAGGAATGTTTTTATTTTGAACGTGGAAGACTTTGCGAATTGCAAACATAAGGTATTTCTCAATGTACGATCGCTGATGAGATTAGACGGAGTAAAACAGCTATTGCAATTCGACGGATACGACTCGAGAATTTCAAGTGAGCGCCCCAATAAAATCGAGCAGGAGAATTTCACGGATTCTCAGGCGAACCTCCAGCTGAACATTAAGCCAGAATATGTATATAATTCAAGATATTTTGTTATTATACGTTATTTATATAGACACAAATATTCAAGTAAATGCTCTGTATATAAAATTTGAATACTGAGAAATTAGGCTAAATACTAACTGCTCAAAAGTTTATGACCATATTTAAGCAAAGCTTTAATTGGTAAACACGTCGCAAAATGTAATC